CCTGCTAAATCCTGGATCAATGAGAAGTGAGAAATGATTTGTTAACGGCTCTTATAAAAAGAATTGAAGAATAAAGTGAGGCATAAGACTAGGACCTTGAAAAATTCCGTCTAATTTTGCATAATAAATCAGTGACTTTAATTTTCTTGGATTAAATAGATCTAAGCCCTTACATTTTCCAGAATTTTATATCTTTTAATATTCTTCTGTTGATGTTTCCATTAGCACTTTAGCCTGAGGGAAGTGAGTATATAAATGGGCTTTAGCTGTGTGGCTTTCACTGTTTGTAGTTGCTGGGCCAGGGGTGACTAGCTTTCCTCACAATTTTGTTGAACTCTAAGGTGTCATCCACAGTTCACCTTCCTAGTAATCACATCAGGAAAAAATTATTTCTGATTTTGACTTAAGACTGAGCTCCCCTTTTCCTAAGTAGTCATTGCTATTAATCCACAATAGCAAGGCAGTGACCAATCTTGACTTCCATCCCATTGGTTACATACTACCAACAATTTCAAGAAATGCCCCCAATGTCATGTGCTCTTCTTTACTTGCTAATGCTAATACAGACTTTCCTTATTTTCATCTCTGATCACTTAGGTGAGGCTTTACTAGGGGTGGGGAGAGAGTTTCACCCCTGAGCTCACCTTCCTCAAAAGCCTCAGAAGGCTAGTTTGGGATGAATGTAGAAAGCAGGCTCAGTCTGCTATGTTCCTTTTCTTCTGTTTTGCACATGCCTACTGGGAACTTTTAAAGAGTTGGAGCAAATGCAACCATTCATCCATACAAAAGTACAAAAGATTAGTTCTCCTCTTTACCACCCACAATGGTGCAGTTAGGAAAGCAAAGAATGCTCTTAACCCTATCTAGACTCGTGGCCCCAACTCCACAGGCATGCTTTCAAACATTACTATACCTCCCTTCTCTCCAAGATCACAGCCTGCTAGTGCAGTCAATTTCTGGGAGCATGATTGACCTGTTCTTCTCTGACATTCAGACTTTCTCTAAACAGGCATACCTCTAACCTTGGCATATACATTTTCTAAAAAAAAAAGTTTAATCCAGATACTTCACAAACGGCTAGGTTAAATGTAAAATGGAGAGAATTTTTTTTTTAACTGTTAAATGGGGGAGGATGGGAAAACATGGATGTTCCTACTATGATATCAGACACATAGTGAGCACCTAATGTCCTCTTTGGATCTTGCAGACTTTAGTCTAGTCCTCTAGGCCACACTGCATCCCAAGCTTCAGATTTGGCTTATACCTCCTTTTTATCCCCCCATGTCCTACTCCATAGTAGAAAAGGATTGAGTTTTTATATGAGAAGGTGACAACTAAAGCAAAAGAGAGACATCACAGTGTTCATTGTATTTCTTTCTCTCCCTATTTTCTGAGAACTTGATCTGGAAGACGTAGTCTGAGATGGAGATCAGCAGGCTGGAGGTTGTTCAGAGAGTGCTCTTGGGATCCTCAGCTGGGGAAGGGAAGCAAGTAGGAATGAGCCAAGTAAGAAGTCCAGCTGCAATTCTGTCTGGAGAAAATACCTCAGCCAGGCCTGTAGGAAGGTCTAAAGATCAATTCATTCTTCAGAGCTGCCCACAGCTGGGACAATAGAGCCAGCCTTTTATACTCCTGGGACAATCATTTCTTGGATCCAGTCCATCCAGGAAAGAGGCATGACTTTTGACAAGGTTGTTCTATGCCACTGAGGAACCCCCAAGAAGGCTGAGTTGAGGGCCATCTACCTGAAACACTCTCAGCAGCTTGGGAATCAGTCCTTCATCCCTGAGTGAGGATCTGGGCGACATATCACAGCAGCCTCCACACTGCCTCATGGACACCTGAAGAGATCATTGTTTTCAATTTCCCAAAGATGTGAACTTATAGTCTGAGACAAGTGTATCACGTTCATATACAAGCTGAAATATTTGTGAATATTATTCGCCAAAAGGAAATGATCTCTTAATCCCGATCGCCTTCCTGGTGGGTGTGAGGAAATCTGAGTTATCTTAGTTGGGACCTCCCTAAACATACACCCAAAGGCAAAGTCTTGTGTTTCTTGGGATAACTTCCTAAATGATCTACCTATATCCAGTAAAGTAGTGGAGAGAGTGAGACAAAGAAGAGACAGAAAAGGGAGAAGACACAATAAAGAGCATATTGCTGAGCGAGCTACCCTGAGTAACCATCTGCTTTTAGGGATCCCTGTAGAATATGCAAGGAGCAGGAAAATTGGAGTTTATCTGCCAACTTCCATTCCTCATTGGTGGAAGGTTGTCTCACCCCAGCTCTTCTGGGCTGCTCTGCACAGGTGTTTAGCAAGCCCCCAAGGCACCAGAAAAAGCCCTCAGGCAGAGGAGCACAGATGCAAGTATTGAAATGACAAGCTATCAGTACACACAGGAACTATCTACCACTGCTCTAGGTAAACTTAGAGCTTGAGGTTATGGGGCAGAACTTTCACAATATCTGCCATTCCAGGGTTTTAGGCTTCTCAGGCTCATCCATCCCATAGTCCCCATCTCAGATCTCAGGGACCTAAGCTTAAATTATCAGAGCCCCAAACGAGGAACTTATATACTACTTTTTTATTGGAGAGGATGGTCCTAGAGCAGGAGTGAATGACAAGGGAAATGAAGCAGGAAAAGAGACACAATATAAACCTATGACTGATTGCTCAAGGCCATGAGACTTCCCCCAAAAAATTGATATAAAAGTGTCTAGGAACCTTTCATAGGAAGATGGAGAAAGTGGAGCTAGTGGTTAAGTATTTGACCAATGGAAATGAGCTAAGGTTTGCCCTTAGAGGTGTTAACTTTCTACCCATCCAGAATGAGTATGTGAGGGTTCCAAGAAGGGTCCCAAAGTGGGAGGCAAGAGGTATGTGGCATGAGATGAGATGCTGTCAGACTGCATCTGTGTAAAATCATGCAAGGTCCACAGGAGCTAGCTGCTGCAGGAGCAGCTGATAAAAGACAAATGAGGCTGAGGTGTGAAGTTGTGCATGAGCAATGTCTGACCAGGAGGCTAAACAGTAGAGAACTAAACTATCAGCAATAACATGGAAGGTGAAGAGCAAGATGCATTAGAATTCTTTCCATCTTTATCTTCCTCCTGACCAACACACAGTCCAAGATCAATCCTCCTCTGAGTCAACATTCATAACACATAAAGGTAAATACTAAAGTACTAGATAATCAATAAATTCCAAACCAGAAAAGGAAAAATGGAATAGAGCATTCAATCAATCCAAGAATTCAACAAGACAGTTAAAAACCAAAAACCGTAAGACAGTGGAATCATTAAATGTAATGATTAAACATAGGTTTAAAACACAGATAATCTGAATAGCTCTCTAAAAAACTGGTCATTGGCTTATAGAGTAATAGATACACCGAGCAAATACTACATGAAGGATTGCTAATATCTAAATGTTGATTTAATCAATATATAGTGTTTATCCCTACATGCATTTTTACTAATGAAAAATGTATCATGAACTTATATGCTTACAACATCACCTCAATATAAAGTAAGAACTAGCAGACAATTTTATTATGATTGTAGATTTTTCTATTTCTCCTTATATTTCTATTATAGTTCTCCCAAATTGATTTAAATAAATAGGTAAGTCTAGAGAAGATAGGAACAATTAATATTATGTCAATAAACATATCTAGAACCCTGCAGTTAACAAAAAGAGAACATTGATAAAATTTTATTTATATATGTGGATATATATTACTTATTTTTAATCAAATATATGGGGGGAAAAACATTTTTGGTTTCTAAACAATTGTTTCCAGACCATTGTTTCTGACTGCAATGCAATTAAATAAGAAGTCAATGAAATTTTCTACAATGAATGTAAAAGATCTTTTACTAATTTGCCTACTTTTATGTTTAATGAACCCCCATGTACTCTCATTTATTAACTCAGAGCCAATTTTCTTTCATCTATACCCCTCTTCCCTACTTCCATATTACTTTGAAGCAAATCTAATAAATCAGCTCTTGGAAACACACACTGAAATATTTATGAATAAAATAAACACTCTAATCTATAGGGTGTTTAAAATTTCTGTATCTTACAAGTTTGCTTTTATAGTTCTTTTGTCCTTTGTGAAGACTTAGAAACAAAGAAGTAGGGATGGCCAACAAAGAAAAGTTCCATTCTATTGATCTCTGCTTTTTAAAATATTTTTTCTTTCTTTAATTTATTCAAGTATTTTTTGCAAGTTTGGAATTTTCTTTTAATGTTTTAAAATATTTCAAAGATAACTTATTTATTTTCAAAGTTAAAACTTAAATGTAAGGAGGAAACCACTAGTCAAAACGCAGAATAAAACCTTATCTTCTTAAAATAGACAAGCTTCTAGCCAAATGGAAATGAAAAGAGGTAACACAATTAAGATCCATCATAAGAATACAGTAAACAAGTTTGTCCTTGTCCTCTATGATTTCAAACCTACTAGCATAATTTATCTTCATATGTTTTGATAATTTTCTGGTAGGTAGATAACCTGAATTAACCAAGAATGATAAATTTTGTTATAGATTTGAATGCCTTATGAAAATAGCAGTAAACAAACGAGACTATTTTGGGTAGTAGGAAATGTGTATGGAGTGAGGTATGAAGTTTTTAATGAACTTTACAAACAAGCTCATAGAATTAATAAAATCTAGCTGAGGCTCTTGGTGCTGCATCATGACAATAACATGTTATTGCTCATCTGTTTCTTCATTCTTTATACCAATTTTCTTTGTCTTATTTCACTAACTAGAAACTCTAGTACAATGTTGACTATTAGGTGTGATGGTGGACACCATTGCTTTATTTCTCATGGAAAGCAGACAATATCCCACCAAGTCCAGACATTTTTTTAAATTAATTTGAGAGAGAGAGAGAGAAAGGGGGGAGAGAGAGAGAGGAAACACATGGATTTGTTGTTCCACTTATTTATGCATTCATTGGTTGATTCCTGTATGTGCCCTGACCCAGGATCAAACCCGCAACCTTGGTATACTGGGATGATGCGCCACTCAGCAAGGACCCAATGTCCAGGCTTTTGACAGGTGAGCTTTACCAAATCTTTTCACTCAGTTTTGGTGTCAAGTTTATACTTACTTCAATCTGTATAGGACAAGGGTCTATTCCTTAAAGTGAGTAGCATTCCTTATTTGTAGCTATCAAAGTAAACATGTATAAAATATTTCTATAAATATGGAAACAAAGATCATAGGCTTAGTTACTAGTACTTGGGTCGTTACTATACATAGATAAAATAGTGCACCATAACCAAGTCAAGTCTACCCCAAAATGCAAAGAAAATTAAATATTAGATAATATGCAGAAATATATTAGACTGAGTTTTGTTTTTGTTTTTCTTTGGTCATTATTTTATTTCGTTTTTAAAATTTTTGTTCAAAATATTACAAATGTCACTTTTCCTCCCCAATGACCCATTCCACCCCGTCCACCCCCCTCCCCAGTCCCTCTACCCACCATTGTCCATGTCCTTGGGTTGTGCATGTATGCATGCAAGTTCTTTGGTTAATCTCTCCCCCTCCACCCACCCACCCTACTCATTCCTCTAATACAGGAAATGTGTTTAAACTATTTGCTTTTTCAGTGTAATAAATGTAATAACATTAAAATGTAAAGCTTACAAGCCAGAGATCAAGGGAACATAATTGCAACAAGAACAGCAAAGGATTATATTCAATTATATTCAATTCCTAAAAGTTGGTAAGAAAAGAAAGCCAATAAAAAAAAAAAATGAACAGAAACAATGAGGAAAAATTCACAAGAGAAAATAAAATGGAAAATGGCCAATAGCCACAAAAGATCTTCAACCACACTAATTATCAAGGAAATGCAAAATAAATTTACCTTAAGATACAGGGAGACAGTTGTAAGACTGACAAAACAGAGAGTTGAAATTTTCAGACTGTTACCAAACTGCTCATAGAAGTGTAAACTGCCATAGCCTCTTAGGAAATATTGCCAAGTCGCTCCCCCCTAATGTATTTCTGGATTACAGGGTATATACATTTATGCTTCTAGGAACATTCTCCAGAGAATTTTATGTGTTGCAGACATGGACGATGACTTTCATTGTCACAAACTTTATAATAGTGCAAAATAGAAATTAACTTGGATGTCAGTTAAAAAACCCAATAAACTCGGCTATAATCAATAATGGCGTATTCCTCAGCAGATATAGGTAGTGTGTTTGTGTGTGTATATATATATACACACACACAACATGCATAGGAACACATATACCGTGTGTGTAAGCATGGATAGTTCTTTAAAAATTAAGTGTGGGAAAGGAGGAAGCAAAGTCCAGAAGATACACACACAGTATAAGAACATTTATATAGACCTAAAAAAAAATCAAGTAGAATGTTTAGTACATATTCTTATGCATTTGCTGTATAGATAACCATATATATATACACACACATATATATGTATATATAGGTTTCTTTGCAGAAAAAAATTAAACAAGAAAACCATCTGGGACATAGCTTATGCAGAGCTGCCTCCTTCATGAAATATATGTTTTTATGTATAAATACCACGGCTTCCCACACCAAGCTACAAGTTCTCAGTACACACCCCAGGAAGTAGTATGACCTTAGAACTGATTTTTATCAAAGAAAGCTGCTTGCGTCAGCCTTGCCATAAACATCAAGAGCAAACCACCACGTATAGGGTCTGGGTGCAAAAGTTGGAGAAACCAGAGGAAGGAATGGCAACCAAGTTCTTCCTATAAGACCTCAGTGCAAAAAAAGTATCACTGATGAAACAATGCTTGCAATTCCCATGCACAGAATGATGGTTCTATTTCTCATGGAGCACTTCCAGGGAGGTAACTTGCAAGCATTTGTGAGCTTGATTGCTGCACCGGGCCAGGCTAATATTTTTGCATGTACTCCTTCAACCATAAATGGGAAAGAAGATATTGTCTTGGGGGGAAAAAAATCATAGAAATAGGATGGAGTTGAGCCAGAACTAGGCCAAGTAACTTTCTCTAAACCTACTGATCTTATTACCTTATCACATTTCATCTGGAAGAAAATCCCTTCCTCCCCAGCACTGCCCTTTACTAAAGAAAATGCTGGCACAGAAGTGGTTGATTGCTGACTGCAACCTGCGCACATCCTTCCTTGAAAGGTAGAGTACTTTTCCACGTCTACCAGCCACAGTACATAATGCCTCCAGCCGTCAGCACCTTCAAAGTCAGCCTCAGGGCAAAAAGCAGCCTTGCCCAAGGGCATTCTCTTCCACAGAGCGCTCACCCGGGGACCAATCATAGAAGTATAAAGGACCGTAATTCCATTCTGAGTTGTGACACAATTCAGGTGAACAATACTTCTCCAGAACTTCCTGCCAGGTTAGCCAAAGCTCTGTTGGATCTACATCACATTTTCTTCCTGTGTCAAATCTTCCCTCCTCCCTCTCTCTTTCACTTGTATGATTCTTAACAAATATAATGTACCCCAAACGTCATCTCAGTGTTTGCTTCCAGAGAACCAAACCTAAGAGCTGGTACTAAAAGCGGCCTGAGAAACTAAGTGATAAGATGGTGCTTTGGAGCTGAATCATACCGGCTGGCAATGAGGACCCCACCACTGGTAGTAGAAGCAACACACAGACCCTAGCACGAAGTCGCAATCCAGCTGTTAGAGCTGGCATCACGGCCTAGCTGAGCTGAAGAGGGAAGAAAAGCACAGCCACATGCATGAGCAGGAATCCGGGGAGTACATGTGGGACTGGCTCATGAGCATGTTTGTTCAAGGCAGGGACAGAATACTTTCAGGACAGTAACTTCACACTATCTCTGGGGTGTTGAAATTGGATAAGAAGGACATTGACTTAGGAGTATTCTCCTGCGATACACGGTTTAACATCCTCAGAAGAATTCCAGAAAATGGTGTGAACTGCTGCTATGGTGATTCCTAGAAAGATGAAAAAATCAATGACCCATGCTGAAGAGGTTTAAATGCTAGAATTACCATGGGATATAGTGGAGGAATGACTTAAAGGGTTTAGGGAAGTGAGCATTCTAGAATGTCTATACTATATTCAGTTGGAAGACCTGCCAGGTAATTATGTTCCACAGGAAAACCCCTTGCAAACACTATTTACCAAGGTTGGTAGAATGTGTTATTGGGAAGGGTACCAGCCTCATTAACATGTAAAGTAGTAGTAGTTTTAGTCTATGGGTCAGGGATAATATTTGGAAAGTTATGATATGAAATTAGTAGAACCCCAAATAATATAATCCAAGCCAAAGGGCCACAATTATAGTAAGTGGCAAGATTAGAGTGCCAGTCACCCTAACCCATCGCAAAGCATGGAGATAGTCAATGGACCATGGCCACTCTAGGAGCAAAATAGGTGGGCAGCCAACAAGGATACTATTCAACTTGCACAAACAAAGGAAATCAGTGATAGATGACAAGGAGTCTGAGGGAGGGCATCCCATTAAAAATCACAATTCATTGTTCAGTTCTTAGTACTGAACTAGTTTTCAGACTCAGAACCTATTTACTGAAAAGGTGGCCAGATCTCCAGCATGAAGGATCCTACAAAGCCACAGCAAGTATACATGGTAATGATTCTTTTACCAATAGATTTTGAAGGCACATACTCAGGGAAACTATACATCAGGGAAAAGAGATTTCCCAATATTTTGAGGATTGTGGGAAAAGGGACGTAAAATGATAATGAAAGCTGGAAACTCAAAATACTCTGATAACCCCTGTTGCAGTTGAAGCATACAAGGGCCAAATAATAAATGAAGTTGTAGATAAAGTCCAATTTACAATGGCTCAGCTTGATCTGGTGGTTATTTCTCCAGTTTCAGAAAGTATGATTGGAATTAACATGTTTGACAAATGATGCAGCTTCCATGTTGGGGCTGTGACCTTCCCAATGATGAAAGTTTACATCCACATGCAAAGTAAAAGCTTCTAAAACTGTCCCCACCAGTGACCAAAGCAGTAAGTCAAAAACAGTATCACATTTTGGAGAGGGGGATAGTGGATATAGTGCATCGTTAAAGATTTCAAGGGTGCAAGGATGATGATTCCCATTGTATCTCTGTGTAATTCACCACCTGGTCCCTACCAAAATCGAACAGATCTTTGGGGATGACTAAAGACTACCAAGTGCTCAATCAAGAAATAGGTCCAATCACAGCCACTTATCCTAACTCTCAGTGAATCACTGGGGGCCTTCATTTATGCTTTTCTCCATAACTCCTGGCAAAGTCACAGCATGGACAGGTCTTGGTGCCCAAAGGACTAACACTTTCACAGAGGACATACCAAGCGTCCCACTGAATTTTATGCTACAGTTGGCTCATGGGCACTTTGGCCTCCTTGTATCCAGGAACTAGCAAGCAAAGATAAGAGAATCACAATCTTGACAGGAGAAACTGCCCTTGGTCAACAGGAGGAGGTAGGACTGCTTTTACACAAGAGACTCACTTGGGCACTCTTGGGACTCAATTGCGCCACTGTGACTATGAATGAATAGATACTACAACCCTAGCCTGAGGAGAGTATGGTAACCAAGGGCTCAGACACCTCAGAGGAAAATCTCTGAGTAGTTTAATGTTTTATAATAGTTATCCAAGACTTAAACAAATGCCTCTGATATGAATATGGATGCTGTATGAATATTCTAGAACCTAGAACATAACATTGCATTGGCTCCTTTTTGCTGAATTTTAGGTTTATTATTATCTTTACTTCCCATGAAGTTAATGGTAAAAATATAAACATGGATTTATTCATTTGTAAATTTTGTGACCTTTCACATCACAGCACCTCAGTCAAAGCCTATAGGGTTTTATTGTTTAGAAAAAGGTCCCTCTTAAGCAGGAGGTACCCACAAAACTGAGCTTGTTTTCTGGCCTGTTTCTCTCTCTCCTCTTCGAAGGTAACTATAGAAACAACTGGAAACTCAGACCATGACATCTGTGTAAACACTGACCAGCTGCTTATCTTTCTCTCTAGGAGATGGCAGAGAGGACCCGGTGAGGAAGAGGGCCTTCGGATACACGTCATATATTCAACTGAGGCCCTCTAGTGGCTGAGGAAATGTTACCCGAGTTTTTTCCTAGACGAGTATCTCCCAGTCTTAATAGAAGTTTGGCTGAGATTCTATTGTCTCTACTCCATATTTTATTTCATGAATTTTCACCATTTGCTTTCATTCAAACTCCTGCCCTTGCATTACGAATATTCTGCACACTCCTGGGCATCCTGAAATTTGTATCTTAGACACACTGAACATTGTCAGTCTAGGGGTGATCTACCCTCTGTACTGGAAACACACAAATAGTGCTCTCTCTAGGTTTATTTTCCCAGGCCCTTCATACAGGTTTAATACATGAGGATAATATACACATTTAATGCTACTTCAAAATAATTTCCTAACTAAACTTTTATATCCTTGAAAATGGATTCCCAACTTCTTTTCCTTGGCTTCTACCTAATTTTCATTATTCTGGGCTCAGTATACCCCATACATTCACTAGAGCATTATAATACAGTAATTTTCTCCTTGGTGTACTTTTAATAGCTCTCTAGTTCCAACAATTCAACAGAACCCAGGTTCGAGTTGAATGAAGTTTGATTGAACAACCCTAATACACAATGCTGCAAAAATATTGATTACTATATCTTCAAATAGTACCATATTCAAACAATGAGCACCTCTTGTGCAAATGGCTTATCTGCAAAACTTCACCAACTTCTGCTTAAGAGTGAACTTCAAGGGGCAAAGCAACTTCAAGATATTGATCTTTAAGAAGTATTTTCTGTATTTTAATCAAACCAGCAAGATATAGCCTAAAACATCAAAGATGCATATCCTACGAATATCAGCATGATTAAAGACTCATACAGTTTACTGATTTCTGGATCCCGCAATGGCAGAAAGAGCCATGAAAGGGGCAGGTGGCAATACCTCTCAGACTTCTGACAAGCTGTAATCAACAGTAAGGACACCCTGATAGTGTTACCATGGCAACCCTGAAAACAGACAAGATGGAAATGGAAGAGACTCTCAACACTGATAAGAGGTCAGCTATTACTCCCACAAATCCTGCTTGATCAGTAAACCAGTAACCTCACATCTTTACCAAATTTTCAGCTTAGTCAGTAGTACAGATGAATTTTATTCAGTTATATGCCTCTAAGTATCCTTCAACCAGAATACTCTACTACTTCAAAGTTAGATGTGTTTTTTAAATAAAGGGGGAAAGGTGGGGCTGGGGGAGTGGGTGGGGAGAGATTAATAAAAGAACTTACATGCAAATATGCATAACACATGGACACAGACAATAGCGCAGGGAAGGCCTGAGTGGGGGATGCAGGGCGGAGAGGGTTAATGGGGGGAAAAAAGGGGACATCAGTAATACTTTCAACAATAATTTTTTTTTTTAAATTTCAACCTGGTGCTATTTAGTTAGAACAGGCTAAGATGTAAGGGCACTGTAGGTTCTCTGAAAATTCACATTTTTCTCTCACTTTAAGAGACTGACAAAATTTTAATGCTCTTTCCCAGCCATTCAAAGCAAAAAATTGAATCCTTATTAGTGTATGCATGTGAGTGGTTAATAGCAAATAAAAAGGGAACTCATTTACTTATTTCATAATTTGTTAGTGAGTGAAAATCATTTTGAGTATCAACAGATGCTCCTTTCTGAGCTGTATTCTCTCAACATTCAAATATTGTCAATTCTCAGTACCTCAAAACTTCCCAACCCACCATAGCCCCTGGGGACTCATGCCTTCCCTAAACCATGAGCCACGTGCTGGGACAGACCGCATGGCACAGCTGAGGCTCCTTGTGAATCCAGGCATCTAGCCCAGAGATTGTCAACCCATGTGCCAGAAGAATTTCTAAAACATGCAATACCTGACTATTTAATCAGAGGCACTGACCCTTTTTCCCTTAGATTGTCAAATTTTAAAAAAATGACAACAGCCAACACAATAGCTGTCCAGTGTGAATGAATTAAAATTATACCTATTTTTTGTCAGGTCTGTAAAAATTATACTTTTTTGATGTGCTGCAGAATTTTAGTAATTAGTTTATGTGTGCCATTGGATGAAAAAGGTTGAAAAATCAATGATCTAGCCCAAAGAGCACCACGTGTTTGAGTGAAATTTGGCACTTGATATGTTTCTGCTCACTGAATCATATAATGTTAAACGTAAGAGGACTTCAGGTCATCTAGTCTACTTACCCTCTTTATGTAAAAGCTCATTGCATGTATAGCGAGTGACTTTCCTGAAGTCAAAAGATCACTGCATGGCAAATGCATACTAGAAATACAGACTCGACCCTGAGACAGATGGCCACTACTTTGTCATTTCTGAATCAGATCTAAAATCCCCCAAGAAGTAGCCCTCTGTATTACCTGATGGTGATTTTTGTAACCCATAATTGTATCAGCATGCTACAGAACTGCAAAACAAATTTGCTTTGACTGGATACCCTATTTGTGGTACAGAGACTGCTCACCTGCTTCTCCCAGGCCAGCCTGTAATGCCAGATTTATGGTGCTTTTAAATCCTGCCTGCTAATCCCTTGCTACTCTGCTTTTCCAAATCAAATTCAGTCAGACTTATCTAGCTCTGTCTGAATGTGTCCCTTGATTGAGTGATGTTAGTTCAAGAAAAAACACTCAAATCAATTTAATGCAAATTCCCATTCACAGCCTGGTTGACCCATCAGTATACTGACAATAATAGATTGGAGTACTTAATTCCTCAGGCATGTGACTCATCGAAGGCTTAGTAATCAATTTCCATTGCAGCTACTGCATAATTCGTCTTGGCGCTCTTAAGCTCTGGAATACCGAGTGCTTGTTGGTTTTTCTTAAGGCCCATACATTCTTTTCCAAATAGCAAAGACCTTTCCGTGTCTCTGCAATCATTTCCTTATCTAAATTTCCATATGCTGGCCCGGCAAGGTGTCCCACCTGTGAAGGTTGTAGATCAATAAAAACAATTGGCATGTTTTGCCTCCAGCTGCAGATGCCTGGAATAGGTTATGTGCTACTCAGGCAGACAATGGAAAGATGAAATGGACGCTGGTCACTGCCTGCACCCACATTAGCCATTAACTCTGTGGAGGACAGCAGTGGAGATTCTTAGTCTGAACCCCATTTTCCAAAGGCCCCAATCTGTTTTGTACTCTAAGCATTGCAGTGAAGGGAAGCATATACATATAGGCAATTAGCAGATGTCCTTTCCGTTTTTAAAAAGGCATGCTATGTTGCATCCAGACTGCATTTGTGTCTCATTTTCTTTGATAAAAGCATTATGTTGAAAGCTGATTATGCCCTGGGAGCTCTCTCTGGCAACCAGGTAAGTTTTTGCTTCAATTCTTGAACCCACTGGTAAGGAAGTCCATAAGAAATTAGGTCAAGTAAATCTGTAAAAGAGAAGCAGTCAGTGTACTAACTTTTTTCTACAACGGCCAGGTCCTTACCCATAACTCTGTTCTTGCCAAAGTAGGGAAAAAAACAGGCATGTTTCCTCTATGTCCTTGTGCTCCCCAAGTGCAGAAGACTAAATCCACTGCCAAGTCATCCGTGGGAGGCACAGTTATCCATGAAGCTAGTTTCATAAGGATATTTCTGTCCCTTTCTAAGTAAACAATAAATGTATCACAGGACTATTTGATGCTCAGAGGCATTAAATGTCATGCCTTTGAGAACATGTTTCTCTCACACCCTTGGCCCTATCTCTTGCATCCTTTCATTTTATCAGTGTAGAAGCTGATGCCTAGGACAGGAATTAGAGTAGGAGAAGGATGTTAGTGAATCTTTAAGTTCTGAGTCAGTAGGGAAAACATGAGAAATATGAAGAAAGTATAACAAATAAAAGTGCTACTCAAACTTCAGTGGACCGCGTTAACAGGCAACATTCTTGTAGTCACCCAGTGTTAACTTGCATTTATATATTTAAATATGTACATACATACATACATTTGATATGCTCAATGTATATACAATATATCTAATATCCTAAGAATTTGGCTAAAAATAAACTCCTTCCTCACAAAGCTCACTGTCTTAGTTCAGGCTGCTATAAGAGAATACCACTGACTGAGTGGCTTACAAACTATGGAAATTTACTTCCCACAGTTTGGAGGCTGGGAAGTCTAAGGTTAAGGCACCAGCAGATTTGATGTCTGGTAAGGAGTTGCTTTCTGGTTCATAGATGGCAACCTTCTTCCTATAACCCCACGTGCCGAAGGGGTGAGGCAGTTCTCTGAGGTCTTTTTCATAAGGGCACTAATTACTTTCAGGAAGACTCCATCCTCATGACCTAATCACCTCCCAAAGGCCTCACTTCCACAATTTTTGGATTAGGTTTTAAAATTTAATTTTGGGAGGACACATTCAGTCTATAGCATTTACAACAGTGAGTATACACGTAAGGAGATTTTTGTGCTACATGCTTTGTATTTAGTGGTAAAGCAGTGTCATACACATTGTAGGAATCTAGCAGATATTGGAATGAAGATTACTTATTCAATTATAAAACCAAAGCAAATTTATAAATTGATTTTTAAAACCTACTAAATAACAACATGCTAGTCAATAGCATTAATGTAAATGTGATTTTTTTTGGCTTAAAATGTGTTCTATTAACCACACTAAAAAATTTTCACTTGCCAAGTTGATACTTTGGAATTTGAGCATGATAGACCATTATTTGTCATTGTTAGGAAAAAATAAGAATATATTTAATACTAAATATAAGGTATGTTGTAAACTCAATGCTCTTGGACATCACAAGTTTGTACATATATATGGACTTAAGCCAATGTGTTTGTTTGAGATGAGTGTGGTATTTACTGCATAAACAGGTTCATTCTTTTGTGTTTGTGCATCAAAATTGGCATTTCATCCTGAAGATGTTAGTTCTAATATTAGTAAGAGAAAAATATAACAGCCAACTACCCTTTAAAAATCACTTGAAAGCCTATGAAGTACAAAATATCTAGACAAAGTGACATCACTAAACCAACAGAGACAATAAGATCCTAAAAATTTTCCAGAGGGAAGAAACAAGTCACAGAAAAAGAATTAGAATCAGTGTCTTCAAAACTCTCATCATCACTAGATGCCCATAGAC